AAAATTAAGTATACGTCTACACCGATATATACGTACAACTGATTACACATACACATACAGACAAGCATACACATACACAATGCGACATACTTATATTTGGTTTAGTTACCCACACACATATACGCTCTCGCTTGAATAATTAATCAATAAATTATAGTCTTTAATATTTGCTAAAAATCTTTATTGGTTTGACAAAAATAAAATAAAGTGTGATGAAGCAATTAAATTAAATTCATGTATGCATAATTTGATTGGAACAATAGAATAATTAAAGACTTTGTCATTCTTAATATTTTTGGTTCAAATTTAGAGCGTATATGTGTGCTGATATATATCTGGCTTAGTTGGTAATTAAAGTAGTTTGCACTTGATATTTCGAATACGGATACAATACCACAAATGCCGCAATACGAGATAGATATTGATTGATTACGATACGTTGGGTATAATCACCGCTTGCTTGCTTGCTGAGATCTGCCGATCGAAACATTTCCGTGTACGTTACGCTCAAGTTACTACAGGGATATCCGGCAAACAATACAACAAATGATACAGTTGGTACAGTACGAGTAGCATTATGGATATAAATACGAGTATGCATATTATAGAACACAATAGACTGCAATTGATTGAGTTGTTTACGGCTTAAGACACGTGCAAGATGTAGCTTTCTTTTTGGGATTTTGGAGGTTTTTTTGTTCTCGGTTTCGGTACTGTAGGGTTGTATTAGGGCCATTAACTACTTGATTGGGGGCGGCGGGGGCAGGAAAAAGAACAGGATTGGTGAGAGAACTAAGGGCTTTACAGGAACATAAGATCTTCTTAAATCAAAAGCTTATTTTGGGGTGTGCGCGGTGAGGGAGAGTCAACAAATTTTTGTTTGGAAATTATTTGTTTCTTTTGCTTTTGGTTTTTCTTATCGAATTTTAAGTAAGGTGAAGGTTATTTATCTAGACTTCAGGTACGGGGATTATCTGGACTCAGAGAAAAATATTTAAATAGAGAAAGAGAGACGGAGAGAGCGGCAAAGAGAGAAAGAGATACAAAGGGGTTTTGTTTTTGGTTCTTGGCGATAATTGGTCCACATGAGGAGGATTATTTTAAGATTGCTCAATTTCAAGTTTGCTTTTATGTGTTTTGTTTTCTTTTTTTAGTCGCGTTACTTTTTTTTTGCAAAATATATATATTTACACAGAACACCATATACGCGGCAATAGAGCTATTTAAAGGGCTATCTTTGGTTTAAGGACATTCAGATTTGATTTGATCCCTCACATCCTTCTGCCTTGCGATAGCATTTGGGTACAGTTATCGATTGCTTCGATTGCATTTTGTTGACCTACTTAATTAGTTACATACGCATAAATAGTCATCGTTATTGATAGATGTGGAAAATCATAATTAAAATCAACTGAAAAGTTTAACATTGGCTGATCGTTTTTTTTTTTTTGCAATTTCGGTTTCTTGCCAGCTTATCGTTGTCATAATGTTTATCGTGATTGTTTATCGGTTATCGCCAGGCACTCGCAACACTTTACTATACTTTTACAAAGTCTGCATGTGTATGTGAGTCTGTAACTGTGTGGGTGTGTCAGAGTTACTAAGGAGAGACAGAGAGATATCGAGACAGAAAGATACAGAGAGAAAGATTCACAAGTAGGGTGAGGGCGAAGAAATCGATACAAACTTCATTTTGTATTAAATTTGATTTGGTTTTCAGCATGATCTTTTCATAAGTTATTCGTTAATTGCAATTAAATGCTATTATCTTAATTTTAAACGTAGACGTCGACAGCATATTTATAAGTGGCAGGCGAGCAATCTGTTATCGTCGGGTTAAAATTCTGGTTATCGTTTTTCCTTTTTTTTTTGCGCGGTGCGGCTGCGTTTTTGATGAAATATCGATTATTGTTTTTTTTTGGAATTTGCATCCCCTGATTTGTTCTGTTTCTGTTCTGGGCTTATCTGTTTTAAATCTGGAATCCTGTAATCGCGCTCTACAAGACTTAATAAAACACTAAAAAGTTAAGGAAGGTATTAAATAGATAGAAGAAGAGACAGAGTTGACAAAGCCAAAGCAGGTATGGAATTGTTAACCAAAAAATTGTCAGCTTACATCGGGTTTCGACTTTAAAATCATAAACATTAACGACAACGATTAAAATAATAAATTCAAAAGCACAATTTAGGCTAACCAACTACAGTATAATCATGTATATATATTTGCAATATTTATAAGCAAAAACAAGGCGCAGATCAAGTGTGATTAAAAAAAAAAAGGAGACAAAGAGAGAAACAGACAGGACGGGCTGGACTGGTGAGACAGAGAGAAAGATAGAGAGAGAGAGAGAGCAATAGGTCCCTACAGTAGGAGATCGATAGAGAATCCGAGCAGAAGTTCGATATTTTCGATAGTTTCGGGGGAACGGATGTAGAGTGGGTGGTGAATTTTTAAAATGAGAACTAGTATTGCTTGATTTGTAATTACCATTTTCTATCACTTTGCTCTTGGCGGGGGAGTGGGGATGGATGGGCGTGGCCGCGTGGGCGGCACCGCACACACACGCGCGCACACACACACACACCGCCAGCAGTGGTTCAGAGCCAGTCTATCGGCAATCGATAATTGTTATCGCCGCCGCCGCCGCTTGCGTTGAGATCGCTTTTGATTTCGATATATGGATATCGCTCTTAATTCAATTGACCGCTGGTTCGTTGATCGCTTTATTGCTTATCGGTTATCGTTATTCGACGAATTGATTTGTTTTGGTTTGGTTGTTCAGTCGCACAAGCTAAGGCCACCTTTTCACGAGTTGCCCTGTTTTCATTTGATTTTACAATTATATATTTTTGATTTTGGGTTTTTACATGTTTTATTTGCTCTGTGGTGCTAAGTTATCGCGCGTCACGTTTCGTTTTTGTTTTATTTCGATTTTTGCAGTTCGCTTGTAAATATTTTTTGTTATATACTTTGATATATACGTGGCTATATGTACATACGAGTTATCACATTCGTTAGCATTATTCGATCGTAGTTCATAGTTCTTGCTCGTAATTCACCGCAGCTGGCACCGATGCCCATTATTTCTGCCGCACTCTCAACTGTCTCTGGGTTTGTTTGTCGATGTTTTCGTACCAGGGAGCCTTCTCTTCTGGGCAGGATCTGATCTGGAACTGGAACTGGAACTGGTACTGATAGTGGTACTGCTAGTTGTATTGCAGCTGTCTATCGATTTTGGCCAAAGGACTTCGGCTTCCTCAGCTGCTGATGCTGCTGCCTCGGCCTCTTTGTCGTTATCGGTTATCGATCGCACGATGATTCCGCTTCCGGTTACTGCTACCGGCTCTGGGTTGTCGCTTGGCAGGGTTGTCAGGGTTGCTTCATAGCCGCCACTGCCGTTTCCGTATCCGTTTCCACTGTAGTCGACCTTCACGTGGCACATATTCGATTTAATTCGTTTCGTTACGGGTTTAGGGGTTCGTTCGGTATAGAATATATAAAGCATTTTGTTTATGTTTTAATTATACAAATCGTCTCGAAAATCCCTATTCAACTGCTATAAAACGAGGGGCTTAGGAGTTTTTTGTGAGAGTATCTGTGTTCGTTGGTGGTAATTCTTAGGCTTTAACACGCACACAATCATTGGAATTTCTAGAGATAGAGGTTAACTAAAAAACTGCTTAATAATTTTGATTTTTCCAAGAAGGCAAACAAACAAACACACAAACAAACAGCGAAAGAGGTCAGACATAGATATAGTAACTATTACGATAATATTTTCATAGACTCCAATTTTATTAGCTAATCAATTGATTACACAGCCGATTACAAACAAAAATCAAATTCAACACAGAAAGAGACACAAAGTGACACAGATAGAGACAGAGACATGTATATATTGTGTGTGTGTGTGTGTGTGTTGGAAAGAGAGAGATAGAGAGGTAATCCGAGAGAGATATAGAGATAGAAAGAGATGGGAATGTTGGATGGACAATGGTTATTAATGGACAATGGGCTCAGAAATGGGTCTCAATGAAGAATTTGCAACGTTCGAAAGAGACGGCAATTGTGGGGGGCAAGAAAGAGACGTCATAATCTTTTGTCCCGCCGCTGGCTTTTCATGTTGAAAATCCTACTTGATGAATGTTTTGCATATTAATTTCATTTTTTCTTGGTTTCTTTTCTCTGGTTTTTGATGACCTTTTCTTGTGAATGTTCATTTGGTATTTTTTTTTGTTTTTTTTCTTTTGTTGTGATCTTTTGAAGGAATGTGCTCACGGTAAGTACATTATTACGAGTATTGTTATTCTGGTTCTTGTTACTTTCATTTGCATTTCGCTTTATTGTTATCATCTAGGGGCCGGGTTATATGGAATGGCGATGGTTAAAAAGTCATGGCCACTAAACTCAAAAAACAAACGAAATGAATGGTGGGGGAAAAGTAAAAGTAAAGTGGTGGGACGAGTATTACTTTTGACTGGAATGGAATGGTTTGGGCTTGGTATTTCCTTTTCGCATTGTTAATCGACGATGGTTATATGGAGTTAGGCTTCCAAATTACGACGGTCCACAGGCATCTGTCGAGTTCTGAAGTTTACACATGGGAGGAATCGGTTTTACTTTTGGGGGGTCAGTATTAAGTGTAAGATACATTTGATACTCTCGGCTTATTTGTCTTTCGTATTTGGTAATTGGTTGGCTCATTAGTTACGCTTATAAGAGTGATAGTAGTAGAGTAGTAGTAGTATAAATATATAGGTAGTAGAAGGTAGTGGTAACATATTCGATTCGCTTTTGCTTTGCGTTTTTGTATTGCGGTTTTTTTTATGGACTCAAATCGATTTGGTTTTAGAGATATAATTGGTTTGATTTCGAGTTGAGTTGTAGTAGTAGAGTAGAGTATGGTATGGTATAATCAATCAATCAACCAAAGGCGGTATAAAAGTAGAGCAAGTTCACATGGATTAGTACGGTTGTTAAAAAGGAAGTGGACACTCACCGATGATCTACTCACTTGCATAAACGCATAGACGCCGCGTAAAAACTCCATATTTTGCTGCTCTTGAGAACCCTTTTTGGTTGTGCGTTGGGCCCGACTTATATACTGCTTAACGGTGTCCGCAACAAGATGTGGCTTTAGTTTGCGTGATAGAACCCTGCAAATAAATCGGATTCATGAGATACGGTCGCCAGAAATTGTAAAAATATATCCTATTAGAAAGTACAATTTAGAAATTACCATAGCATACTTTTCAACACCTTTTAAAGTTACTTGAAATCCTTACAGATTTTTAAAGCATCCTCACACTTGTCCTTTTCAACAATTACATACAAGTAAACACATAAATGGTATAAAAATGATAATTTGTGTCAGCTTTGTAGTCCGAAAAAAAAATTTGCGGTGGAATGTGGGTTATTCTTGGTCGAGGTCACCACATGCCACCCTCTGCTCTACCACCACCCAGCCCCCAGCCCACGGCCTCCTTCCTTTTCTACAGTTTTTCACCTCACCACTTGGCCCTCGGCTCGCATCCAAATTGAAGCGCTAAGCAAATTGTCACTTGAGAGGTGCTCGCTTTTCTCATCTGCTAAACGGAAACACTTTCCCCAGTCTTTGTGCTAATTGGCCGCACTTAGTGGCCCACCCACTTCCCCGCTTTTCTGACTCTGCACTACATAGTATATGTATATATACATATATAAAGTGTGTGGTGTGTGCGGGCCATGAAATATGCGCAAAGGATAGTGCTGGCTGGATGGTTGGAATTTTTGTGTCGGCTAATTGAAGTCCTCCTCGACTGACGACTTTACGCATTTTGTGTGAATTGACAACGCAGATTACGCTTATCGTTTAATTGCTCCCAGCAACAGGGAGGTTACCCATCTCCATCTACATTTCCATCTCTGTCTGAGTTTTCATCTTCAATTTCCATCCGAGTCTCCATCTACATCTATGTGCTTCATGTTCTGGCACACACTCACGCATAATTCCAGTTTTTATTAGCCAAGCTTTTAAGCTGTGACTAACCAAAGAGGCAGAGCTTGGGATTTACACAAGGAGAAAAATGATACTAGTCCTAATGCATCTTAGAAATCTCGAGAGGCTTTTAAAGTGGTTCAAGTAGTAAGAAGGCCACTCAAAAAATGTAACTACTTATTTCTTGAGAACTGTTGCTTTCTTTAAAATGGTAATAGCATTTTAAAGATAAACAGCATTTTAATTAGCAAAAAAAACTTATTTTGTTCTTAGTGTACAACTGGCATTCAGGACGATGGCAGTTGGCGGATAAGACCGAGGCTTCATTTACTACTCTATTGACTTAAGCAGCCGACAGCAAAAGCGAGCGCAGATTTTCTGTGATTTTCCCCACTTTTCTGTGGATTAGCAAAGCATTTAATTGGATTCCCATGTGAGCACAAAGGCGGAGGGGACCCTAAAAAAATGTAATATATATATATAGATATATATAGCAAACACCAAGGGGAAAATCTGTGGAATTTAATTCTTGAAAAATGCAAAAATGAATTCTTCTTAATGCCGCAAATTCCCCGGGCAAAAAGCGGAGTGAAAGAAACTAATAAAGTTAGCTCTGGGCGGTCTGCCAACGCGCATTTCCGTTTCCGGTGTGCTTCTAATTTATTATTAATGAAAAAAGAAGAAGAAGAAGCGAGTGGAGGCGGGGCGTAACTGCTTGCTGATTACATTCGCGCGGAACATACACGAATTTCGCGCTGCTTTTCGACTTTTCGGACGCGACTTCTCTGCATATTGACCCTCAGGGTCAAATAAATTCGGGAACAAAGGCGGTGGGCGGAGTTCCTTCTGGGCTGCCGAAATTGAAAATACTTAAAAAGCATCGGCAACAGAATTTTCAATTTGTCCTTTGACCTTATCAGCTGTGCCAGCGGGGTATATTGGTTAAAGAGAACATTCGATTTATTTATCAAATATTTTAACAAAGTTGGTGAAAAAAATTTAGTTTTCGTAAACATTTTTAAAGAATACTGAAAAAAACAATATTGCATGATTATATTTGGTTCAACAGTAATTTCTTCTGAATAAATCCTAAAAGATATTTAAATACCGTAAATTAATTTTTTGGTGGGTACTTTCAAGTCGAATGCTTTAAGTTTGCAGGTTTTAACTTTTTGTCCGTGCCTTCGGCACTTTTGTACAATTCCAAATCGCGTAAGGACACAGATTTGTTCCTTTTTTTTGTGTTATTGAAATTATTTGACCTCTCGGATGAGGGGCACCGTCTTTTAATTTATTATTATTTTCTTAACCGCATTCACCTTCTGCCTGGGCGCCCGCCTTTCACCGCAAGACTTTTCTTTGGTGTTTCGGCGGTTCTCGGTTTGTTTTTCCTCGGCTTTTGTTTTGTTTTCCCGGTTGACAGGCGTAACAGAAATGTTAAATTGCGAAAAATAAATCTTGAAATTGACTTTGTGCAGGGTTCGGTTTGCTTTGGTCCCACCCGCCTTTTTATATATTTTTCGGTTTTTGTTTTATTTATTTTGTGCTTTTTTCACAAACTGTCGCCTTTTTGAGTTGCTGCTGACAGCGTGAAAATCGAGATAAATGTGTTTTCACTTTCCCACTCCGCTTGATATCGCTTGTTGGCGGTTAAAAGAACAGTTTATTTAATTTTAAAGAGGGAAAGGAACTCAAAAAAAGGTAAAGGTGAATCTTAACATTTAAAGATTGGCATCACCAAGTGTTCGAAATGGAAGAAATAGCTTGAGATGTCTGTGGCGTTTGATTCACAGATTTTTAAGCGGTATTGATAGGGTAAATATTAAAATATTAACAGAAGCTTCTTTCGCAAATATTTCCTGCATGCATAAATATGCAAAATATGTTTTTTTAATTTATGAAAAGTAAATATGTGGCAAAACGAAAATATAAAATGCAAAGTTGTCTCGCAAATATTTCACTTCTGTTGGCATTTGGCTGTGGATAAATAAACGCAAAAGCCAAATTGGAACTTAAATAATTCTCAGCATACAGGAATCATAATTTCTTTGGCATCGTTTTTCGGTACTTCATAAATTATTGAATAAATATTGGGAAAATGAAAATTGAAGAGCAAACCTGTCTCCCATAGTAACGATATACAACCCACATTTATTTTACCATATTTTTTCATTTTTAAAGGAAGAGAGAGAAAAATTAAATTTTAAACCGCGTTAATTTGCTTTACGGTTTCATCGAATTATTGTACGGTTTTGTTTGGTTTTAGCACGGCAAACTTATTGCATTGGGTTGAACGTATTTCATTTTAAATTATTTTTCCTGCCTGAAACTGCCAGCTTAAATGTTGCAAATTTGCGTTGCCTGTGGACCGCCTCTCGAAAATTGTACACACTGCAGGCACTGCATAATGCAGCAAGTGAAACAGCTGCCGTTTCTGAATCTGAATCTGAATCGAAATCGGAACCCGAACCTGCCATACCAGTCGGAATCGAATTTGGTGCATTGGTTGGCCGGGGCAAATTACAGGGAATAACAAAAGGTTGTCTGGTTATTTTACAGCCGCAGCCAATTCACTTTTGCCATCTGACAATCGAAGCAATGGAATTGCAAATTCACCTCCCCATCTGTGAAAAGGGGAAGTTGTGGCTTTTCCCTGATGAAGCCAGCTAATCTGGAACTCAGGTGCATGTTTCAAATGTCAGATAAATTTAAATTTTATTGCAAACATCAACCATCATCAACCTTCTCTATGATTACCTTCTCTATGATTAGTATAATTTGCATAACTTTAAATTCTGGCTGAATGAAATAGTCACAAGTCACAATGAAAACACTTTCTATGGATTTTGCAAATATTTCATCACATCACAAAGTTAGCTGAAAATTAACACAGTTTTTATATTCATTAAAAATGTGAAAAACATATCTCGATTCTCTAACGATGCGACGACTACTAACCGATAATTGTGCACTCTCAGATATTTTCTACGAATGAAGAAAAACACAAGCGCGCAGTTGCAACTGTTGAACAGGAGGAAAAATAAAGAAAAATACGAGAGAAAATGCAGGGGAGCCCCAGAGTATGCACACATATCATATTCTATGCATATGTTATGTCATGGAAAAGGACAGATATATCTAAATCCGATATGACCACAAAGCCATTGGATTGCTCATTTCAGATTTCATTTTACTTTTCCGTTTATTTTATACATTTTATTTTTATTTTATTCGCTAGCAATTTTCTTGTCAGCGTAATAAGCGCAATTAGAAAGAGGACACTGGGTGGAAAAGAATAGAGGAAAATCGTTGAAGAAATGCGACCTGAGCTTGCATTGAGAAAGCAAATTGCAAGGCAAGAGCAAGTCAAGTGAGTAAAGGACTAATATATAAGTACGTCATAAAAGTCTTCGAGATATTTCAGTTACTATTATTTATGAGGGAAAACAAAGAGTTGCATAACAATTGCTTAGTGTTTTTCCCAAGAAATTCGTATTTTTTATTATTATTTCACATTTAAAGGTGCGCAATGCCCCACACGGCAACGGATCAACCTTCATTCTATTTTAAAAAATGTGAAAACCCCTCTTCCATTTCCCAAAGCAATCCACTTTGCTTCAGTGTCCTTTGGTGCAACGAGTCCTTCAAGATTGCCTTCTTGTTGTCCTATAATTGCTTCTGTTAACCGCAGTCAATTTAATTGCATGGAAAGCGGGGGCAGCTAAAGCCAATGCCAAAATAATTGTGCATAATTCCGTTTTGCATTTTACAACCGAGAGTCTAGGTTTTATCTGACCACGCATATAAGGGTTCCAGTAAATATATTAAAATCAAATAGGGTCAGATTGCATGGGTTCCGTCATTAGCATATTAAATCAGCCATCGTCAATGACGAAAGAGGGGGAAAATATTATATACCACGTATAAAAAAGGAGTGTAATTCTTTAATATTTAAATAAACATTTTTAAAAGTTTTGATAAAATAAAAATTGATGATATTAATTTTTTGTATGACCCAGACTAAGCGAATGCTTTTCTTAATGCCAAAACAACTTGTATTTTGGCAAGTGCATTTCATTTTGAAGAGCATTCAGTCTCGTGTTTGCCTTCCACTTTTCTGCAATTGTTTGCCCTAGCCATACATTTCGATTGCGACTTTTTGTGCAATTTTGCGGCCTT